AAAAAAAAAAAAAAAAAAAAAAAAAAAAAAAAAAAAAAAAAAAAAAAATAAAAAAAAAAAAAAAAAAAAAAAAAAAAAAAAAAAAAAAAAAAAAAAAAAAAAAAAACAAAAAAAAAAAAAAAAAAAAAGCACTTTGCCGAATCCTGCAGAATTTCCAAGCACCATGGGGACTTAAGGAAACGACAAACTTCACGACTCAACTCGAAATTGAAATGCTCAACTCAACCCCAAACCCGAAGCCCTAAAACAGGCTTCACGCCCTAGACCTCGAACGGCCAAGGTCTCCTGCAGCCATCTCCGTGCAGATAGCTAAACCCCTAAACCCAACAGCCAAAGAAGAGCCCTGTAACCCTGCACTCAAAATCCCTGAGACCCTAAAGCTGTAAAAGCCCTAAACTCAAAATCCCTGGAACACCCAATCCACGAACTCCCCAAACCCCAAATGATTAAAGCATGAAGCCCCTAGGCTCCAATCGCTTTAGAGTCCCGAAACCCTAATCACCCTACACGCCCAAATCTCTAGCCACCCTTTACGCGCCAAGCTCTAATCATCCCAAACCCACTGGATGCAATCACTCTAAACCCCCAAGGCTGTCATCGCCGTTATAGTCACAAAAACAGAAATAATTATAGTAATAGTAATAGTAATAGTAACCCCTCGAAACTGCAATCGCCCCTAAGGCCCGCACCACCAGGCCGCTCTTAGCCCGCTCCAGGAAAGCAGCGAAAGCATCACCACGGCCTTCCTGGTCGGTCACCACCTGAGTTTACTTCAAAAATGTGTTAGCTACTACACCGCAGCCCAAAGGGCCACAAGAGAGTTTAGCAAGTAGATTCGCCAGGGGATCTGCTTCGTAGATCTGCCCGCTAGTAGTAAACATCATACCGACGTTGCGCCTGTTGAATATGGACATTTTCACAACTGAAGGTCCCCCTGGCAAGATCCTAAGCCTTAGAAGTCCCTACATATCCCCTACATCCTCTTGCTAAGCCAATCCGATATATAACCAAAGGTTTCGTCAGAGTGTCAGGTTCAGAGCTTTTTGTGCCTTGCATTTTTGGAAAGCTTAGGTGCCGAGACCTCTCCTGCGCTTGGGCCTGCGACTAGACTAGATTCTACGGCGTCTGCCACTGGCTGGTGAGCAGGATTAACTGCCACTGGGAGCATTCAGGGCTTAGGGCCTGGGATACCAGCGCGGGCCATCAGGCCCTAAAATTCCTTATCAGGACCTTAGTAGCGGTGGATCAACTGGCCTTTAGCCTGTCCCGAACTGCGATGCGCCTTCAGGTAGCGCAAGAAGAGGGGGACCTCCTTCGTGAAACCTTTGTCGGTGCGCAACATGGGGGTTTCCCCAAATCGGGGCCATCGGGGGTACCCTTTCAAGCGGATATAGGGGGGTATATAGGGTTTAAGGTTCTGGCCTTCCCACATGATAGGCCCTTTAGGGGTGTCTCTTTGCAGGTGATGGATTACAGGTGACTAATCCCCTGCCCTCATCTTGACATTATGTGTCCCCTTAAACCCGCACCCCCTAGATGTCTATCTATATATATATATACATATCCTACTATGATTCATAAGCAATATATGATATCAGCGGGTTCTAGGCTGTAGGTTTTTGAGGCTTAGGGCTTAGGTTTTAGGGTTTAGGGCTATCACCCCACAATGGCGGCAACAGCAAAACCACCAGCATACACCAGCAAACAATGGTGGCTAAGACGGGGAATTTGAATTTAGACTCTGGCAGTGCTCACACAAGTTAAAGGGATCTAAAGCCATAGGGGTGGCTGTGAAAATTATATTCCCTTTTGGGGTCCTTGGTATAATACGGCACCTAATATTTAGAGTACCCCAAAAGGGACCATAATTTTGACAACCACCCATATATTCGCTCATCTCTGACATATTTTACCCGTGATGTGGGAGCTATGCTAGATTACGGAGTGGCCTTCACCGGTAGCTGTAGCGTGTTGGGATTTGTGGTTTACACAAGGATATGTGCATCCTAGGAAGTGCGTAAGGACCAGTTCTGGGGTCAGGGCTCCACATAGTTGCAGCCGCCTTTCAGATTTTATATGCAGCGGCGAATACTCGTGTGTAGAGAAACGGGCGGCCAAGCTTGAAGAATCTCAGAAGGACCCTGAATCACCATGCTGTCCCGAGGCAGAACACCAAGTCTCATCCATGATCTCGGAAAACGGCAGACTAGGTTCTTACTCTGCTCAGAATGAAGCAAAACTCACTTACTGTCCTAAGGCTGCAAAAAGCTGTACCTGCGAACAATCTACTCAAATGGGACGATTACGCCTCTAAAAAAGAGGCAAGAATTTCAGAGAAGGTCTTGACCCTCCCCCCCCAAAAAAAATGAAAAAAGGAGGCCACAAACGCAAGTGTCCTTCCTCAAACGCAGCTTTATCGTATGGGTTTCAGAATATTGCTACTACAACTACTATTGCTGTTCCTTACAGGGGGGTAGCTCAGCCTAGAAGCTTGCCAAGTGATCTCGCTCGGGCAGCGCGATCAGAAAGTCGTCGTAGTCCACCTGAGCCGCCCAGGGAGAGCTTCACAAAACTCCACTTCACAACTCTCGAGTAGAGAACCCTCATACCCTTGCATTCCACATGAACCCTACGGATTCATAGTGCCGCTTGGTTTGCGAAATCCCCTAGAATAATAGGCCTCTGAGATCTCGAACAGTCATTTAACAAGGCCTGGATGGGCCCGGATAAGGGCTTGAGAGTGCTTGTCTGTCTTTATAGTGCATATGGGTGGTTGTCAAAATTATGGTCCGTTGTTGATATTAGGTGCCGTATTATAGTAGGGACCCAAAAAGGGACCATAATTTTGACAACCACCCAATATGCGTAAGTGCTGGACACCAGGAACTGTGAGCCGGGCAGCCTGAACCTGTGATCCCAAAAGTCCGAAGCCGCAAGCCCTGCCTAAGGAGCCAGGTTCTCATAACATTCCACACAAGAATGCTGAGGCACCTTACTTAGAGGTAGCCCCTAACCCCCAAGACCTTAACCCGACACTTTCTGCTGAGCTTGACACGCCGTCCTTGTAGGGCTTCACGATGTGGTACTTGGTAATCTGGGCGCCTGACAGACTCAGAAGCTTTTGGGTTTGGCGTTTCCGGTTTGGGGTTTAGGGTTAGAGCCAGGCATCTGTGGGTTTAAGGGTGTAGGACTCGGGTTTGAGTCATTTATTTGTTGACAGGCGGTCGGGAGTTTTGGGTTGATGGCTTCGGTGTCTAGGTAACAATAGCAGTAGTAGTAATATCAAAAGTATTCATTTAAGGAATAATGATAGTAATAGTCATGGTTACAATTAGGGGTTTGGGCTCAGGAGCAGGCCCTACAGTCGGCCCCTGTCGAGATACCACGAGCTGGTTCCAGGCTTCTGCAGTTTTAGGATTCCCTGCTACAGGGTTTAGGGTGTCTATAGGGTGGGGGAGTACGATTCATGGCAAGCAGCTTCTTCGACTCTTATGGTGCGGATGCTGTAAAACCTAGGTCAAGTAGCTACCCCACACCCCAGCCCAAAACCGAAAAAGCAGAAGTAGGTCCAATAGCTATACTCATGAGTTGCTGAGATCCTGAATTCAGTTCAAGGACAGGCTACCTCAAAGTCCTGACGGTGTTTGCTGCTTGAGAGGCGAGAGGCCTATAAATGTACCAGACACAAGCTACTCCACAATATGACCCTACTTGTAGGGAGGAGTGGGGGTCAGCGGCTTACAGCTTGTAAATTTGAGAGTTTGTAACGGTTTCAGGGGACGGGCTTATAATCCGCAAGGGTTCAGGCTTTGGGGACCCCGAAGTTAAGAAATTCCCATGGCGTCTGGGCTCAAGGTCCGCAGACGAAGTGACCCTCCCAGGCCAGGTAGTCTGTCCTTCAAAATCCTACTAAGAAATGATCCCTTCCTTCCTAGACCCCCCAAGTACCCTGAAATAGGGTCTATGTAGCTTCTATTTGGGGATACCTAGGGTCTATAGAGGGTACTTGGGGGTGTCTAGGTTATATGTTCGTACTGTATTGGCAATATGCATTATTTACGTTGTTCTTGGGGGGGATTCGACATATCACCAAGCAAAACAAAACACTAGTGTCCGTGTAGTGTAACTGTAGGAGACTGTGTTATGTGACCTGGTCCTTGCTGTAGCTCAAATGCTTCCTCAACTTGTTCTGGACAAGTGGCCATGAAAACCGGAGACCGAAGTAAGAAGTATGAGGGAGAGTAATGGCATCCGTAATGGAAAGAAAAGAATACGTTAAGCTTCATATCCTCCTTCCTTGTCAAGCAAAGATTTGATAGCAAGCTGGTGACCAAAGAACTGCAGATACTCGACCTCTTAACAATCTTAATTCAAAGCACGACTTCCTGAACTGCAAGCCTTAGTGCAGGCCTAAACCCTTTATTCCACAGTCTGACAGGAATGCAGCCCTGCTTCTGAAAGAACCAAGGTTCCAGGCCTAGCGATCGTTTATCATTATCTGCCGTACTCCAGAAGGGAGATCTAGCATGCATGATACATATAGTAGCTGGATGGCATGGCAAGTGTCGATGGAAAGAAAGCCGGTGGGTCTCTCCTTCGAGAAGTTCACTTTCTCTAGCTCGCGGGCGAGAGATGGTTTCCATTCTTCCAGGCGGTATGCAACCATTCTGGAACTTGCAGCTTGCCGGACTTCTTGACCTCACATAATGTCCTGAGCTTCGCCTTGATGGCGTTCTCATGCTTCCGAGTCTCGGGGTCTTTGCTCTCGGACGCCTCATTCCAGTGCGACATGCCACATTGACAACACACGCTCATACTTTCACACACATAGCGAGCTCTGTAGATTTTGAAGACTCGCGACATCATCATCCTTCAGCCAAATTTACGTATAACTCCTATAAGCATTGGTGTCGAGACCTCCAGCAGGCCTTGTATGGTAGCATGGTAGCATGGTAGCATGTTGCATACCGCCATATAGCCTCATGTGCTTCAGGGTGTCTAGAGAGCTACACGCACCCATCTTCCCCAGGAACCCTTTATACTTGATACCTTACCAAGTCATCCACCTAGGATCTGTCCCCTAGAACCTTTATGAGTTGCACCCTCCTTGGCGGTGACGACCAGAAGCTGTATACGGGCTGAAAGGAATTGCCAGGGCTCCAGTTTGCGGGCTCTATGTGTAAGGGGATGAGGGGTGTAAGGGCAACTTCTCTCACTGCCCTCTAGCATCTCCTGCACATCTATTAGAATATACTATAGTATATTAGAAAAGTATTGTCCACTATAGTGTACTATAACATATACTATACCATGAGAGAAATATGTACTATATAATGTGCTAGTCTATGGGGCTTCTGAACGTTAGTCTAGGCTCCTACCAGCATCCATGAGGGGAATGACCTTGTAGCATGCCACAGACCAGGGTGACTCAATCTCAACATGAGTTGATCTGCCCTCCCGCAGATCGCTAAAAGTGCTCTTGGGACTTTTCTATGGACAGTAATGCGACTGCAGCATTGTGGCCCTCATGGTAAATTGGGCCGAGCGTACAACCTGAGAATGCCACGCCATGTGACTGCTACATTGCCCTTTTGATTGTTGCACCTCTTTGTGCCAACTCATGAGGAAAAGAAGAACTAGCGCTTGTGGTGGAGAGACGAAATCTTGCACCACCTTATACACTCTCCACCCCAATCATTACAGGTTTTGCGGGATCCCACCGAATGCAAGATTTCCTCTATCCACTCGCCAATAAGCTAGACTCATATGCGCAGGGATGCCTTTGGTGGCGAATCCAAGTGAATCATGCATCTCTATGTTTTCTAGTCTTGGATGGGGGGCCGGACACCCCATACATACTCACTAATATTCCCAGGGAACCCTACATATACACTCCCAAAACCATAGTACAAATCCTACTTCAAATGCCACTACCCCAGAACCCCAAACCCCTGAACCCTGCTGCGACCCACGTTTAGGGTTTAGAGTTTAGAGTTTGGGGTTTAGGGTTTAGAGTTTGAAGTTTAGGGTTTAGGGTTTGGGGTATGGAGTTTATAGGGTTTAGGGCTTACCTAGGCCCCCCAAGTACCCTAAAATAGGGTCTATGTAGCTTCTATTTGGGGATACTTAGGGTCTATAGATGGTACTTGGGGGTCTAGGTAGGGTTTAGAGTTTAG